CAACCATGGGGGGTTCTCCTGTCATCATGCCAGCACTTGTGAGGTTACGCAGCCGCAGCTAGGAGTGGAATATATAAAAGATCCATTATAATGCTAGCATTTAAAAAGTTTGGTAGACTCAACATGCCAAGTAGCAATACCGAAGATGAGATGGAAACTCCTCCACTGTCCAGCTTTCGCCAGACTACGATTAAAGCATTTCAGTTGCCATACTTTCAAGATACCTGAWCTAGTTGGATTTCATTCCTCAATAAAATTGTGGCAGGCTCTWGGTGTTTTGTCAATATGCGACGATGTTTTGATCTAGAAGGCAGGACTGACATATCTAATATTGACAAAAGTTTTTATATACTTGTAAATAATAAAGGTAGAAGCCATTGCGAATATTTTATATTCAGTCGAAAGCCCTTGAAATCTGCGACCATAAATCTTCTTTAGTTTACTCAATCAACATTAAAGTAATGCCAAGATTTATTTATATTGATTTGCAGATCAATAAATAATATATTTATCTAGCAAAACCAACGACAAAGCATGGCAAACAAATTTAGCTGTGATTCTGCAAACAGACCTTAAAATCATTATCTGAACGAGTAGCAAACGCTTGAAATACACTCAAATCTACACAAACACATAAAGATTCATTATATAAATGTAAGTGCCTATATATGTATGTATTAAAGTATTTTTTATTCGATGATGATTCGCACTTGATCTTGTGGAATGCTGCTAGATCCRACAGTCCTTGGATATAAATGAATCCAGGTCGACTCGGCACCTCTTAGTTCTACATTTGTCAAGAGTAAATACATACACATATATTATATATATATATTTTCATTACCACATATTTAATATATATATATGATATATATATATATATATACATATGTGTATATACATAGCAAATGCTAAAATAATATTATAATCTATAATAATCTTCAAAATATATACTATATATATATGTATATATTTATCATATGTCATAGCATTCAAAGAATCTTTATTTTTTTTTTGTGTCTTCAAAGACAGCATTCCATAATATACCCCTAGGTCGATAATTTTTGAAACAAAAAAAATTAAATTAAATTAAATTAATAAAACCTGGGAAACCTACCCACAAAGGGGAGTCCTATCGTCCGATAACTCTTCTCTCCCCAGTAGTGAAGACACTTGAGGCCATGCTACTTCCGACCTTCACTCATCACCTGAATTTAGCAAACCATCAGCATGGCTTCCGAAATGTGCACAGCACCACCACATCACTTTGCGCCTAGATAGTTCATGGCCTCAACCAAAAACCACCCTGCGAGAGGATGATCCTCGTAGCGTTGGACTTGTAAAAAGYCTTTCACACAGTCAACCACACAACGTTACTTGAGAACATCGAAAAATCTACGCTCTCTCCAGGGAATAAGAGGTGTACTGTTAACTACCTGAGCAGTCGGAAATCATTTGTACTGTTTCGAGGTAAAATTTTGAATTGAGAAAAATTAAACAAGGGAGTTTTGAAGGGTGGTGTCTGCTCCCCGTTGGTGATTGCACGATAATGACGTCGGATAATGGAAACGATGGGATGTGCTCAAAAGTAATCGGCTATCTCYCCGACCTTTGTTGCTTCCTCGCTACACCAAGTCCTCAGCGACCATATTCACAAACTGGATAAAGGAGTGCAGACTTAACCTTAATATTGCAGTCGATGACCTTAAAATTCCGTCTGTCAATAACTCTAAAATTTCAGGTATGACATACGACAGTCTGTGCACCTTCACTCCTCATGCGACCGCGATTATTGCCAAAGTGCAGATCCGTAACAAAATTCTAAAGTCGCTAGCCAKCTACACATGGGCAAAATACAAAGAAACGTTGTTGCCAACACGGAAGGCAATCGTACGGTCTTTAAATACAGYTCACCAATATGGTAGCATGGATGCAGTGAAAAGCAGACGAGGAAGCTTCAGACATGYCAGAACACTGCACTCCTATCGAGCATCTACACAGTAAGGCCCGTATGCTCCCAGTTAAGGAGTATGATGAACTCCTCTCCAAGCAGCTTCTGTTGGGGTCATCCCTACAGTCATCTGCTTGAAGCGGACAACACGCCGACCAGACTACGGACACAGCGAGCTTCACACATGCACATCACATTGGTGCCATAAACGCATTCACCGACTCCTTCTCATTGAATGTCGTTCTTGGAGTCAAACTACCACTCTCGAGTTATCGCGAGAATCAATAGTAACCGTTACGCAGCTACGTTCTGGACACAGTAACAGGTTAAACTTCTACTTATCCAGAATGGAATCGTATGACACTAACCACCTCTTTGTATGCCTAGTTAACCTTATRCATCTGACACCCCTCTCCCTATGGTCCGATCCCGTCGGATGTCGTCGACGACAACTTAGCTGATCCTAGCCATTCTAACGGGGACTRGATAACTGTTACAACAACAATAATATCAGCAGCATTCAAAGGTGTTAACAGAGAACTTTTATTTTCTTTCAAGCGAATTAAAAAAATATTTTCTTTTATGCAGCATTGAATTATTAAGAATATAAATTAGCTTYTTGGTAGCAAACTAACCAACAATCTTCCGATTCATTATTAGTACATTAGTGAGCAGCATTTTTTTATAAATATTTTGGTGCGTACGCAGAGAAAAAAGTGTAAAACTTCGACTCAAAAAATACTCAATGAAGCAGGTCAAAGCCGAGTAAAGTTCGCGATGAATTGGGCTGTTGCTCCGCATTTGCGGCAGCCGAACACAAATAATGCCGGCTGCTAAACGAAGCAGACAAACAAATGGCATAACGGCTTAAAGCCATAAAGGCAGAATTGTGTGTGAAGTTGTTTTTTTTTTCTGCTAGTTGCTACATAAATTGATTGAGCGCTTGAGCAGGCAGCGTCTGCATTAATGTCCAATTCAAATGATTCGTTTACTACGAAAATCGGTTTTTGCATTTTTTCATGCATTGCTATACATTTGTATTTGTATATGTGAAAATGTGAAGAAGAACTAATTATTGTAATTAACTTTTTGCTGCCACAAGAGCTGCGGCATTGGCGGCTGCTGAAAAGAACATAAGAAAAATAAGTAAAACCAACTTATATTTTAATATTTTATGTTTCGAACTAAATTTATTTTGCTTTGTATTGAAACAACTAGAACTAGAATATTTAGCAGTTGTWTGAAGTTGTCAACTTTTACCTTTTAGTTTATTGTAATGTCTTTGCTCTAATATTGTATTTGTTTCTGATGCAGGCGTAATTTTTTATGCGTTGATGTTGAATTGATGAACAAAAAGAAAAAAACTACGGGCAGGGTTGCAAGTARACTATTTAAAAATAATTTAATAAACGTTTTAGGTACTTTTGTATCTCAAAAATGTTAATAAAACTATAATTTAAAAAATTAATTTAAATTAAAAAATTTTTAATAAAAAAAAATTATTTAAATAAAAATTATTATTTTTTAATTAAATAAAACTTAAATTTTTTTAAATCTTAATTCCCAAACACCGTATTAAAAAATAGTTTTAGAGTTCAATTTTTTTCCGTTTGCGTACTTTGTTTTGATAAATTTTGAACAGAAATGCTTATTTTTTATAAACTATCAACATAGTTCATGGTACCTCAGTTTGTTACATGTAAAGTTTTTATCACTTTTCATCCCAGCTTCTAATCAGATACATATTTTTTACTTAAATTTTTAAATAAAAAATATTTTCTCAATTTTCAATGCAAGGCGTTTAGGATTAAAAATTAAATTTTCAATTTTTATTATTAAATAGAAAACTAATTTTTCAGTTTCCAAATTTGAATATCAAGCATTTGAGGTTTAATTTTTTTAATTTAAAATTACTTTTTATTTATTTAAAATTCAATTTAAAAACATTTTTTTAATAAAAGAACATTAATTTTTTAATTTAAAATTACTTTAATTAATATTGAATGATTGTTGCTGTCTCTTATACACATCTTATCGGCTAGCTTATCAAGCTCTTCTTACTCACGCATTTCGGCCTTAC